GTAGGGAGGCTTACAGTGGAGTTGCCATCTTGCTGTTACCAGTGGATACTGATATAAAAGAGCAAATTTTCAAAGTGGTGCATAGGAAATGTGCACAAAATCCAATTAGTAAATAACAGGATTTTGGCATGTACCTCTTGTATTGCTTTAAAAATTTACCCTGAGGTGTCTGTGGTTCAGAGGGATCAAAGTAAAGAACTGATTTGAGAAATCAGTGGGAAAAGCAGCAGATGCAAAAAATAATGAAATACACAAGTGCATAATGTAGCTGATACTAGAGCAAGTTTCAGTTATTTCAAATTTATCCATATATCTAGAGACAGAAATAAATGTAGACTTCAAATTGTACTGTATGGCATTTCCAAAATGGTAAGATGTTGACAAAGATCACAGAACTCAACCAATTTACTCATTAGACCCAGGAAACATAATATGAATCATAGTATGAAAGTATGTTAACATTTTACCTGGTTATATAATAATTCTTGTTGTTTTAATGCATCTGCATCAAGTCTGTGCAGTTGACTCTTAAGATTTTTAAGTGATGTTCTACTTCCCTCAATTTCTGCTAGAACACACTTCTCCTTATCCTTCTGCACCTTTAACTCTTGAGTCTTCTTGAAAAGCAGTTCTTTTAACTGGTTCATTTCCGTTTCTTTTTCCTGGTAACAAATCATTAATCATTAAGAAGTAATTAATCACATCAGAAGGAATTTCTGAGGAATTACTTGCTTTTATTAACCATATACAGGAAGATTAAAAAATTTCAATGCTATACCCATTAATATGAACACAGAATTTCACAGGTCTTCAAAATGGTTGGCAAGAAAAGTCTGACTTGGATGCTGCTCTACTATTACATGACCTTTTTTTTTTTTTTTTCCATTATGGGAATGCTACTCTTTTCAGCCTTTCAGAAAACTGAATTCCTGTCATCCTTTCAAAAAAGCCTCCATATTGCTTCCAGTATATGTGAATATTTGGAGAAATATAATAGAAGGCTTTTCAGTGGTTTATACTTGTAACTCTGTGTGTATGCACATGTACATACATGTGTGTGTTTATATTAAAGTTGGAATAATTTTGTTTGAAAAATTTATTATACATTTTAAAATCACATCCTTATTCTCAGAGATAAGTTGCCATTAGCACCTAAACCAGTGCAGGAAATGAGGTTTTAGTAGGATCTGTTATAGTAAGACAATGCTGAACATTTCAGGTTATCTGGAATGTATTGAAAACGAACAAAATTGAGATTGTTTTCTTTTTAAAACCCTACCAAGGAAAACAACTTTATTCTTTCGCTCCCTTCTTCCACCCCTCCACCCAAATAACCAAAAGACCTTCCAGAGCTCAGGCTTTCCTAGTTTCTTGTAAAGTACATCTCTAAAACGAGTGATGTGGCATCACAGTCCTGTTCTGAAACACTCATTTATGTATAGCTCAAACCCAGTACAGAGTTTGAAGATGCACATTTAAATTAGTATTGTAAAACACCTTAGAATTCACTTTTCTACGTTGATTAGTAATGTGCTTATTCTTGATTTTATATATATACATTGTGAAATTTGCTTGTGAACCATTTGCTGGCTTTAATAACAGTGAAAGATCACACTGTCTCTAAGAGTTCATAATCATACTCTACCAAACAGAATTTTTTTTGTAGTTGAACTTGCTGTAAATGCAATTCCAAATCCAAAACTCAGGAAGTGAAAAACAGGTGTAAGTTTAATATGAGATCATCGCAGCCTGTAGCACTTTACTCTGGTGTCAGTGGGCTCTGGATCATGCCTGAACAAAGGAATTTAATTTCAGAAGTAAACTGTTTTTATGCATGTGCCCAAGTCTGAGCTGTATTTCTGAAGCTGATGACAATGAATTCATCTACTAAAAGTGGGTCATGATTTGACCTTCATTTTGTAGCGTTTCTTGCATATCTAAATGAATTTATTTCATAAAATTGTTTTTCTCCCTTTAAGTGAGGTTGTTAATAGAGATAAGATATTCAATAAGCTTCACTGTGCAACAGTGTTTTGCCACAGATTGAAGAGGGAGAAGTATCACAGAACTGAAGCACAAAATGGTGACATTTCATCCACATTGTTCCTGTAAATATCTCTTCACAGTAAATTAATGCATGCAGCAAATAGCCCTGTGTATCTAATGGTGATGGAAAGCACGCTTCTGACTAATACATTACTGACATTGTTCAAGAACAGTTCATCCTAGTTAAAATATTAGCCTGAAGCTGTCGAGCTGCCAGGCTCAATGTCATCTTAGGTTATCCGCCACAGATGCAAGTAGAGAAACCCTGCTAATGGTTTAGCCACCCTAGTAACAGTCTTAAGGAGAAGCAAATAAGGTTTTCATTTTAATGAAATGTTGGATCATTACAACTTGTTTTCAAATTATCTGAAAAAACTCTCTGTAAAGGAAAGACATCCAACTCTCTAGTTTCTCTATGTATATTTAAAAGGTACAGTTAATGCCTGTGGAGTTAAAAAGTTTGAAAAAGAACACTCAAATCTACTGCAAGGGATTATTTCACATCCATGCTATGGGAAACACAAATGGGAAAAAAAGCGTATACAGTGGTATGCACAGATACAGCTTTGTTGTCACTTGTATGGGAACACCTGCTGTCACATTAATTTAACCTACAATAAAGACAGCTTCAGCATATCCAATACTCAATTGTCTAGCATAACATTAAAAAATATCTGTATCAAGTTCAGTCAGAATCTAAATATAAAATGCCTTAAAAGAGTTAGTAGCAAAATGACAAACCAGTAGAAACGTTTTCTGAAATGTGGGAAAGTTCAGGTGATTGCATTACAACATTGCATTTATTCCAAAGCCCTTTGCCGTTCATCTGATGATAATGAACTGGAATATTTTTATTCCTATACTAAATTTGTAGCATAAGAAGTGGGTTTTGAATTCTAAAAAAGGTATTATTAGACATGTTAAAAACGTCACCATATTACAGCTTGTACATGCCACTTCCTAGATCAAAATCTTTATTCATCATGAAAATGAAATCTAAAGTGAGACAGTTATTATTTATTAGTCCACAAAAAGGTAGATGTATCAGAGTATCATGTAGTAGAATTAAAATAATGAAGAAGAGACTAGGCCAGCTAAATCTGATTAAAAGACTTCAGAATCTGTTTTAATCCCAGTTTGCCAAAATCCTAGCTCCTTAGAGGTTTATAAATTTTGGTGGTGTTTTACTAAAGTCGAGATTTCAGTGGGAATCTTACTGAAAAGTCGTTTTGACAAGATTCTCCCTCTTTAGCAACTGTATTGATAGGAAACCGGTAGAAGTTCAAGGACCCTCACTCCTCAGCAGCCCATGAAACAGAATGTTTAGAGACCACTCCCAAAAGGGCTAAGCAAAATACAAGATTTTGAAATTTTTTTAGTCTTGTTACAAAGCAGAAGCAAAATATTGCTACATTTTTATTAAAAAACCTTGCCACATTTCAATAAATAACTTGTACTTCAATCAAGCCAGGAAGTTGTAAGTAGTTTTTAGCTGATGTCAGAGGTAAATGCCCGGTTCAGCACGCTGAGGCAGTCAGAATACTGGTTTTCTATCTGATCTATACAATGACAGTCCCAGTATCCTACGTGAATATATGGGACCACCATCTTCTGAATTACTAGGACTGCTTGTTTTGCTCCAGAGTTTTCCCAACATAGATACTGACATATCTATATGCACGTTACTTCATTGTGTGATGAAATAGCTACACGTCATATTAATACTTACATTCCGTTTTAATCCATAAATGTTTGTTCTAGATAGAGTTTGCAAATTCAAATGAATCCTTGTTTGCAGAAAGCATGAAAAACATTTTACCTTGACAATTTTTTCTTCTTCCTTTAGTATTTCTTCCATCCTCAAAGCTTTGTCCTCTGAACTAAGTGTCTCCTCAGTCACGAGCTTCAGCTTATTGGAAAGACTTGCATTTTTTTCATTAAGAAAGTTTAATCTAAACAAAATTACATGATTTAACAAGTTAAACGTATGTTGCATATACAACACTGCCAAACCCAAGCAGCATACCTTACTGAGCAGTTGCCTAGTAAAGCAGGCTGAACTTGAACGTTTGATAACCCAGATCCTAACCCATTTTTTCACACCCTTTAAAAACAAGGATTACCAGGAGTATTTCCTAAATTGCCCCATGACAGAAACTATGCAGGACATAAAGTAACAAAAAGGTTGGAGGCTTTAATCATCAACATTGTTTAAGGTTCTTTGCTAGCTCAAGGATTTGATTATATTACTAATCCTTACAAATGATAGTTTTAAAGCTCTGTTTCTTACCTGGCTTGTTTTTTCTGAATTTCTTTCTTCAGATTGGTTACTTGTGTTCTCAAAGACTCCAGATCAGAAGCAGTTCTGTCCACAGTAGATTTCAAAGCATCCAGCTAATAAATTACAAATGGAGCAATCAAGCTCTTATTTACTTTGGGATATGTCAGTATATTTAAAATTGTAAGGGACCTATTTTTTGGAAAGTATTCCGTTCCTTTATAACAATGTTTTCCAAATGAGAAGTGCTGCAAATTCTGAGGTGCTGTAAATCAGCACAGCTAGTAAACTCAATAGACTAATTTACATAATCTGAATACTGGGACAAAATACTTAAGAATACAGAATGAATTATGAAGGTGCTGTGGGCTGCAATTCGTGTCCAACAGCATCTGTATAAAGGGAACCATGGTTTTATAGAGCACAGCTGACTGATGGGGTTCTTTGTGAACATGAATACCTTTACATATCTAATAAATATTTCTAATTCAAACTTTGCTGGGTACATAAAATGATTTGGATTAAGATAAGGGAAAACCATGAAAAAAATACACATTTAATTTGCTAAAAAATACATGACAGTGTGCACTCATTAAACAGGATAGGAATACTTTATAATCCGTAGCTCATTAATGTTCACAGTATCACTTAACAGTGTAATTGTCTTCTCTTTCACAGATGAAGAAACCTGATCAAGGGTATATAGAGCAGGTCTGTACCAGAATGAGAAACTGTGAAGTCACAAGAGTTGAACTGTAAGTCCGTTTCTTTCCTTGTTTCTCACTTGCATGCCACAGGTGTTCTAAGTCCTAATAATGAGATTGTTCTCATTATCACATTATGTAGTATTAATTACTTAAAACTTCAACCAAGAGTCTCACAGTTTAGAGATTAAAACCTACCAATTCTGTGAACCCTCAAGTTTGCATGAATTATAGGGTAATCTAATAGCCTACACCTTGTTTGAGCTACCTACAGTTTAATATCAGTTTATGAACCACTTGCTACAGATAAACCATCCAAAGTTAAGGCAACAGCAGATGCAGGTTGCTGGGTTTTTTCCCTACATTGCCAAGCTTGCTGAGTAGCCCAGTGTTACTTGTTAAAACTTACATAATACAAGTGTATTCCTTCTCAATAGTGCCATGAGACTTGAATTCTTTCTTGGAAATACTTCTACAGGCATTTAAGTAATTCAGCGGTGCAGCTCATTTCTAGCTTTAAGTGCAGATTAAATATAAGTAAGAGAGTAAGTATGGACAGCATTAAGCATGGCTTGTTCACAGGGTAGCCCTATCCTACTGTCTCTTGATTAGAAAGCCATGTTAAAGTGCTGGGGTTTTTTCCCCCCCAAGAACTGTAATCAGGTTAAAAGGGTTACCAACACTCACTTCTGAGAGCACATGATAGAAATTGTTTGAAATCTGGAAGAGATTTCCCTCATCTTTATATAATACTGCTGTCTGTGTATGCTAAAGGCAAGACACGCCTCCTTCTGAAGCACCTGATAGTGTTCCACCATTTAAGAGAAAACTCATCCATTTTATACCAAAGCAACAGAGAATACAAACTAATCTCTTCACCACTATCAATGATAGGATTAAATTGAGGGTTCAGATCCCAGTAATCATGAGTAGACTGAGAAGAGCTGACATTTTGTTGAAATATTAAGAGTTTAGTATAAAACCAGAGAAAAGCAAATGCTATTCCTGTCTTTTCTCCATCTAGTCATAAGTTATAGTTTGTCTTTTTCTGGGCTGGTTGGTCATCCTTACCTCATCCTGCAGCTGAACTCTGTAGGTCTCCTGAGCCTGATACTCATTTCGGAGGCTGGTAGCTTCCCGTTCAGCAGAAGAAATTTTCTTTTCATATTCTGTATTATTAAGAGTTTCATTTACCAAAAAGGAAGTCTTCTCTTCCAGCACAATTTCTTTCTTTCTAATCTCCTGTTTTATCTCTGTTATTAGCTATCAGGATAAAAACAGTTTAGATTTGCTTGCATTAGTTAAGATGTTGTTAGATTAATAAAGGGTACAACCAGAAGACAGACTTGCTATTAAGACTACTCTTCACATGAGACAGCCTAGTTATCACATCATTCCTAAATTACTTTATTCCACTAATACATCACGACACCAAATACCACAATGGTTATGAACTGGAAGCTTCCAAAATATTCTAATAATGTCAAAAAAACATGACACTATAAAGTGAATTAAAATAGGATTTTGATTGACTGAACAGGGGAAAAAAAAAAAAAAGCTATAACAAAACTTCAGATTGACTTGAAATGAAGGAAATACAAGAGGAAAATTACCAACAGTAGTGCTGCTTACTTTAGCTGACAGATTTATAGCTATTGAGTGAAAATTGTGTATTTTGAAAGGTTAAGTAAAAGATTAGCTACTGGGAAAATTATACTGTAGTTCTAATGTAAAAAAAAAAAATTATCTGTTTACAAAAGCATCAGTAGGACTATTCCATGGACTACTAATACATGGAAAGTTGACCAGAGCTGGGGATTTTTTGTCATTGTTGGGGTTTCTTTAATATCTGTTTGTTATTTGCAGGAATGTTCTGACCTGAAATACTTTGAAATCTGAAATATTTCAGCTAAATTAGACCATTATATTTTCTGTTTGGTAATGCTTCTTCTGGTTTGTTATTTTCTATTATTACCTGTTTAAACCACGTTTCTGCTCAGGGTCAACCCAATATCCATATGCACAACATAATAAAGCTGATTATTTTTTCAACAGGAAATACCAGCAGAGCTAAGGATCTAGGTAGACCCTTCTTGTACATGCAATTATTTTTCCCCACCTTCAAAGCAGCCATTGTTAGTTTGGAATCCACATATATATATATATACATTTTTTCTCTACACTGGTCCTTCAAGCTTTTTCTGGTGCATCTGTTCTATTGCCCTGCAGAACCTTCTGAGGGGTTCACCTTTCTCCTGACAAAGCCAGGATAAAGTATATTTTATTTGTACCTCTTGCCATTGTACCATCTGTGCATAAGACACTGACAAAACCAATGAACACTGTATGTTTTAGAAATTAATACTAACTCATAATGCCCAAAAGAATAAGAGTGCTGTTGCTTCTCTCCATTTGTAGAATGTACTTAAGGAACATGTTTTAACCTTATTGTGATTATTTATCATAATTCTGACATAAATGATAGTCATGCATTTGTTCACAGAGGTAGTAATATTAATTCCTTCAATAATAAATATTCTATTTTATTTTTTACATTGCATCCCAGACACAGAATCCCCTCCTTGCAGTTGACTGTCCTTACACTCTAAGAAGCAATACCCAATTTTGTTGCTTCTTAAATTCTTAGAACACAGAAAATACTGAAACTGGCATGCTCTGCATTTTCCAACAACCTTGAGATCGAAAATTAAACCCTTCATAGTATCAGGCAGAGCACTATTACTTACACTGAGAGATACTGCTTTCAAAATAAATTCTGAATACATTTCAGTAGTATCTGAACTTTAAAACACCTTAATAACATAGAAATAAACACAAAGAGGACACTGAACATCTGAAAGACCCAATCACTCTATATGCAACTGGCAAAGTTCCTATCAATATCATAGATACAAAAGTAGGCCGATACACTGGTATGAATCAGTTACAGCAGTTTTACCAAAGCACAATGATCAATCTGTTGATCTCTTTTCTGCATCTGTTGTATTGCATTCTCCCACTGCCTGATGACTTCTTGCCTCTCCTCATGAACTCTACGAAAATCTTCAGCTGTCTTGTCAAGTTCTATCTGTTTAAAAGAAAGCACCCCCATGATTTTTGATTTTTAAAAATCCATATATAACAAGGTATCTTCAAGAACCTTAAGCACAAACCTGAGCTGTTATGGTTTCTGTAAGCTCATGATCAAGAGCTTTGCGCTTCTGATTTGCTTGCATAGTCAACTTTTCTACTTGAAGGGTTAATGCCTAAAATGAAAGGATATGTAAATATAATGTATTTGAAAGCAAATATATGATGTCTTATAAATTCTTAAAGCTCTGCTACAATTAGGGGTGGGATTACTGAGGCATCCATTTTATTGTGGATTAGAAAACAACTGAGAATCTTGCCTCCCAGATTTTGGGTCATACAAGAGGCCATAATCTCTCATCAGCCCTTGGGACCAGACTGAAGCTAGGCCAAAGTAACCCTTCACCATGTATAATTGTGCACGTGGTGTCCTCAGCATCAGCTGTTTCACTTCACTCTTCTCACTACGCTGTGACTTGCTAATGTAAATTATATCACTGAGATGTATAAGATGAAGTTTTTGCATTAAGTATTTAATGAGTAAAAATCAATTTCTCCTCCCTGTATTTAAAGCATATTAACCAGAGATATTTATCTCTAAATGAACATTATACTTGAGAACTAAAACAAAGTCTTCTGAGTTTGTGATGGAGTGTCTATACCATCTTTCATTATTCTAGGCAGCTTCACTGAAATAGCCACACTTTGTTTCCAGTAACAATTCAGTTCTAATGGGAAAATCTACACTATTTGACCATATCTGGCAGGCATTTTCATTAAACTCCTCTGTTTTCTAGGCTTTATTATCTATTTGTGCACTTTCTCAGAAAAAAATCAGACTTAAATTTTACCCAGATGAATAAATTAATGCCTTCAATTATGTGTTTCACCTTTTGTAAAACTTGTTCTCTCTGACCTTCAGAATGAACCTCATATGGAATTTGCACTATTGTGCTAAGTGGAAACCAGTTTAAAAGTGCTGTTGTACAAAAATCTCAGTCTTACCTGACCCGATAACAAAACAAAATCTTCAAATGCTAAAATGATTCTCTCTTTTCTTTCTGAAAATTGGTGCCATCTCTACTTACTCCTAGTTTCCCTTCATCTTGTTGTGCATACTTCTGGATTGCAATAGCATCGTTATCTTTACGATCTGATTCCTTTATCCAGCTTTCCAGAACTTCCTCATCACAGTTCATCTGTTGTTTTAAGTTTTCCAACTTCTTAGTGATTTTATTTATAGTATTCTAATAAAATTAGAGATAAATTAAAGGGTGAATATTTAATGTCTAACATTTTCTTTGAATAGTAATTGAAACAACTAGTTCAAGCTACTATAACAAGCTTACACACTTCTTGTCAACAGAATTGCTAACACACATCCTGGTCTTAAAGAAACAAGATCACAGATCTATAATGCAAATAATTTTAAAAAGAAAAGTCAACCTCTGGCAAAATGTATCTGAATGTGGGATATTTATTCTACATAATAAACTGATCTAAGGTATTAGAGGGTAAAGTTTCTCCCTCATACACTAAGGTCCAGTTCTTAGACCCTTACCCTGCACAGCAATTTACAAATGGCCCTATGTGGCTGTGAAGAGACCCTGACAAATATGAGAGAATCTGGATCCAGCTGAATAGCAAGGATAGCTTCATCCTGCTACCCAGACTGAGAAACTGGAGATTACACACAGGAATAATGAAAAGAAAGAGAGCAAGTTAAAAAATAAACAATTTAAATTATTCACAGTTCTATTAAACAGACAAACACCTGTAATTAGATAACATTAAATTACTTCCTTTTTTTTTTTTTTTTTAAATGTAAAGCAATTTTTTGATGTCAAAATCATGCCCCGAGTTTATTTCATGAGGGAAGATTTGACAACGACAATTTAATTTTTAAACCAAAGAAAATAGCTGTGAGAATTAACAAGGTAGTGATATGGACATGTGGCTGTGTATCTGGTGTTAAGAACATCAAGAACTTAAGTCTTTTAATAGCCAGTTAACTTTTTCTAAGTCTTGAACAGTCTATGCAAAGAGATCCTCAGTGTCATTCTACTTGTCTACACAGGAAAAAGCATATCCAGATCATATATTATAGTTTACAAGTTTTAATTAGCTATTCTTGACATACTATTTTTTCTGCAAGTGAAAGTGAGAACAAGTCATAAATTCTAACTGCAGTATGTGTGTTCTCTTACAAAATTTTTAAGCTTACTTCTTGGCTGTTTTTCTTTTCTCTTAAGGAAACTATCTCATCTTCCAGTCGTTTAATCTCACTTTTGAGATGTCCAAGTTCTCTCTCTGCAAGGGCTTTAAAGTGTTGTTCAGTTTCTATTTCATTCTCTCTGGCTTTGTAAAGAGACTAGAGAATAATACAGTTCAGCATTTTACAATAAACAAAAGGCATATATCAACAAACTCGCCTTTTTTAACATACAACCAAATCCCGTCAGAGATGGTATGATTTTGTTATGTAAATACTGGAATTTTCGGAGAAACGTTATTGTTTGGATTTTAGTATCTCAAATATATGTATCCTAATATATATACACACACACATCTACTGTATTCTATCAGATATTCACATTTGTAGCCCTAAAAACTCAATTCCAAGATTTTCACCCAAGATTCAGAATCTTAATCTTTCAAAATCAAAATCTTAGTCTCTTGGTCACCAGCAGCTTTATGTCAGAGTTCAGGAATCAGAGCAAAAGAAATAATTTTTTTTTTGTGCTGATACAGACCACCACCAGGCAGACCCATAGCAGTATCTCTGTATTGCCTAATCTTTCTGACAAAAGTTGTTTAACAGGGTGGGGGTTTTTTATCTTGTATAATAAGAAATCTACTACTTGCTTCTCCTAAATAGAGAACAGTACATGATGTCTCCTTCTTTATGTGCTAATTAAAACTTGAATCTAATTAAAACTTGAATCTAGCCCCCCCCAAATTTAAAAGTTGTTCAGCAGGGAAATTTCTTAAGACTTTTTCACCTAGAATATTTTACCTGGAAGGTGTGCAGCTTTGACTCAGGACTCTTTTATAAGTCTTAAACCACCCATTTTGGCCAGTTAACTCTGAGTATAAGCAAAGACTTTTAGCCCTTAACCACCTCACTTCATTTTTCAAGTCCATGAATTAACTCCTTACAACTAACTCTTGACCATTATAAAGATTATAAATTTGCTCTTCCCTTACACTGATGTTTCAGTTTTCTTGAACATTTTTTTTCTTATCATCTACAAAAGTCCCTATTCATAAAGAATTCTAAAATATACCCTTCTTGGCTTTCTTCTAGGTACAGTCTGTTGTTGATCTGGGCTTGTCTTTTTGGTCTTGGATGGTCTTTTTAATGACCATTAAATCATATCACCAAGATACACAGTTTAACTTTTGTTTCCCGTGGAAGTCCTGGAATAAAGTCCTGACAAATCTCTTAACAAAGCTGGCAAAATATATAGGGATACCAGCCACAGAATACGCGTCTGCCCGATAACATGGATCAGCTGGTGGCAGCGATTTACCTGAGTGAAGCCCAACTCCTGTCTTAAGTTTTTCAAATGAGATGTCATTGCTTCTATACGCTCTTCAAAGTCGGCCAACTCATTTTGCAGGTTTAATTTTTCTTTTCGCATCTTCCGCAGCTATTTAAGAATTAGAATTGTCGAGTAACTATTTTTAATTGAGCACTCATTACCTGCAACTACTTAAAAAAACATAGTCATTGCGATTACTAATTAAAAAACGTAAAAAGCACGCGCCGCGTTCCTCCCAAGCGGTGGAATGAGCGACTGCAGAAGAAAATCCCGAGCTCTGGGAACGGCAGGGCCGGGGCAGCCCCCCGGTCCGGGCCGCAGGGCAGCTCACCCGCCGCCCAGAACACCTCACGGCGGGTTTCTGACAGGGCACAGGGTTCACGTCGTGTTTCTGAACAGGCCTCCGGCCTTACCTCCCAGCGACTGACCGCCGGGTTTCCGGAGCCAAAGATTGCATTCAGGTGGCTGCAAACACTAATGCTGTATCGTTTATAAACTTGGCTGTTACCTTTTTGAACACACCTGCACTTCTGGGCTGCAAATCATCCTGTGCCATTTTGTTCCTTCAGTCATAGATGGAGAAAGGCACGCCAGTCTTGGCAGGAAGCGTAGCCTTACTGCAGAAACCCTCTGTGGTGATTATTTGCCCTGATTATCTGGTTGAAACACCTGAGAAGATATTAAAGGAATCAAAGCGTGATTTAAAGGTGCCTGAACAAAACAGTGATAAGCACTGACAAATGGTTGGGAGGTGGTTTGGAGGAGCAAGGAATTTGCACAGGTTTGTTATAAAACACGGTTCTCTGGCATAGTAGCAACGCTGACCGTAGTAGGAGATGTTGATTTTGCTAAATCCCTGCATGTGTTATGGAATAACATTTTCAGAGATGAAAAGATTACTGAGGAACGGTGGAAGTTGGGCCTGATGAAGGATACACCAAAATGGCTACTTGCAGTATTGCACAAACTATTGCTGGTCTTCAGTTGTTGGTCTCCCCCTGTGAAAAGTCTCAAGTTATTCTTAAAAGTATTGAAAGAAAAAAGAACAATGTGAGAAGGCAACCTAACTTCTTAAAAATAGAGGAATGGTACAGGACTGAATATTTTTGAAGAAGCAAGCTTGGCAGTACTGCTAAACATCAGGAAAAGGTAGCTCGAGACAGTAATTGGCAGCAAGCAGCCTCCTGTCACCTTCCTGTTTGCCCTCTGATGTACGAAGTTGTGATGGCCAAAGTCCTCTCTTTTGATGTCCTTGCATATGCTTTTACAGCGTGCAGCTCAGTAATTATGTCCACCCGATTGTGAGAATGACATGCAGAGCATGGTTCGTTTCTTCAGAGGAAGGTGGAATGATTTGACGTACATTATCAGTGTGGACAAGGCAAAGGTGGTCATGTGCAGGAGGGTAAAAGATAGCTGAGATATGTGGCCATTAAGAAGAATGGTAATTTCTATAGGCAGAAAAATCAGGCTTTGTAAGGTATATGTATTCTTGATTCTAGTATATGTGGAGGAGATTTCTAGAAGATTGACATGGAGACAGCTGGCTTTTCAAAATGAATTCTTAGGACCAGCAGCTCTCAGCACTGATCAGTGCAGAGGAGATGCATTGGTGTGATAACAAGGCAGAAGCTTCAGCTGTTTGGAAGGCGTCAGGTGAAAGGGCTGCCTGCTAAGTACTGTGCTTTTTGACCCACTGGAGGGGAGCGTGCCAAGAGCTAGGTATTGCAGAGTGCAGTTAGGTGACCTGACTGAATGAAAAGGTTGAATTCCAAAGACACTACAAGCTACTAGAAAGACTGCAGAGAATACAGTGGCACATCACTGTGTACATATTAAGGGCCCCTTTTCCTACCCAAAATGAGAAATGCCTTTTACTCACCGTTTGTGAAAAATAAATACAACTCGCCTTGCAGGGATTTTAAATTAACACCTGTAATGCAATGTGGCATTGCAGTGATGAGCACCTGATAATCTCATGTTATCTCAGCAGAGCTTGTGTGTTAAATAGTATATGAGACCAGATAGTGCCTGAGAAGAAGAAAGCAAATTTTTGGATAGCTATTTGTTATTAGGTGAACACTCAGTCCTATTTGCTAAGCAAGACAGGCATACACTGAAAAAATGGTAATTTATAATCATGTACCATAATGCGTACATGTAAGAAGCTAAATTAAATCAATCTTGATGCAGTTATTTAAAACATGTACTGAACTTCTGAATTTTTGTAATCATAAATGTTCTGTTCGTATGTTTTCGTGAGTGCAGTATTTATACATAGTGCCTGAAAAGTATAAAGTGTTGTATGACTAAAGAGTATTATTTCACAATTTTCATGGAAATTCCACACCCCTTGGTTTTTCTTGCCTGATCCTGACTAAACAAATCTCCATGATATCTTTTGTTTGTATGGCTTTTCCCTTCTCTGACTGTGCTAATATAGTCTGTAAATGCATAACCGTTTGACATACATGCTAATCCAGCAGATGGTGCTGCATGTCTGTGTATTTCAGGGTTTTTTTGGGTTTTTTTTTTAAGAACAGCTGTTATCGACTCCTCAGTTAAAAGGGAAAATATAATTCCTATTCTTAAATATATATATATATATATATATATATATATACATACAGAAGGGCTTTTTTCTAAATGATGTGTGTTATTTTTAAAGCTGTTAGAGAAACAAAAGTAATTGTAACATGACAAACTATTTTCCTCTGTTAACATTCCTTTTGGATTGAATATTCAATTATGTAGACCACTGTGCCCATTTGTTCAAATTACATAAATGTAAAATCACTGTTTCTGGCCTTTGAACGACTTATGGCTCCTCTTGTGCCTGTTTAAAAAAAAAAAAATCATTTTTTGTTTGTTTGTTTATGCCCAAGCTCTTTAAATGATTATCTGTGTGAAAATAAAGATTTCAATTATGATTTGCTTTCTAGCAAATGATACTTTTTAAATCTAAAATACAGGAAAACATTTTTTCCTATGTCTAAGCCATCTACTGAAAAAAAAGACTCATTTAAAGGGTTATTTCATTATTTATAACTAACCCAGTGTAGCCAGTTAGTGTCATTTAATCACTGTTTATAATAAATTTCCCATGTGAACCTTTTCCTCAGTAAGTTGCAGAGTGTCTGATAATGGGATGTAATGGGACACATTGTACCTTTTCTTTCAGATGGGTGCACTAAGACTGCCAACACACAATGGAAGAAGCAAAAATGGGGAGATTGAGGGGACTGCACAAGTGAGTATGAGATGAGAACATGCAGGAAGTCTAAAGGATGAGAATCTGGCATGGTAATGACTTATGTATTGACTGAAAATCTGATGTCTTTATTGAAACCTGGATCTCCTGACTTAGATAGGAGAAACACCGTTGCATAAAAAGGAAAATTGCTCATAATCCAGGTCTGATGTGTTATCAATTACATATAGTCTATTGCTAACCAGTGAATGTAAATTGACACCAATTTTAGTACATTGGTTTTTAGGGGAAAAAAAAAGACAACTATGCACCAAAATCTAATCCCTCTGAAGTTTGAGGAAGTTTAAACTTGTCACCAATAGGTTTTCTTTGGCCCATTCTGTACTTTTTGCATAGTTGTGCTGGAGAAGGCTGTGACTTTTGCTGATACACTGCTGTGGGCATGGGCTTTTCTGTGGTGGATATGGGTGCAGAGGAGAAAAAAACAGCCTTTTGCTTCAATATTGAGTTGAAAAATTACTACAAACCATACCAACATAGGGTAATTTATTTTACTTGCACAACCTGAGTTTCCACTAAGAGACTGCGAGGGTAGCTGTAACAACAAATCCCTTTAAGCAGAGACAAAAGCTTATTTTATGTCAGTGGTGAAGGGTCTGTACAGCCCCTTTGAGCGTCACCCAAGAGAGGGCACTGCAGCCAGCAGTCTGAATGGTGCCCAGTGGGCTAGGATGTACGTTTTCAAAACACTGTTCAGAAAATGTTCATGTAAAACCATTACTAGGTTTTATTTAATAACCTCCTAACCCCCTCTCTCTCTCCTCCTCCTCCCCTGTGTTCCTCTAATGCCTTTTACAGCTCTTGCTGCACAGCGTGAAGCCTTAGAGCTGTATTCATCAATGACTCACACCCTTGCTTAGGGGCCAATTTTCATGGAAGCTATACAGGAAAATCTTGAAATGCACCTATCTCATGCAGGGCACAAGATGATTTCTCTATTCATTACTATTCCAAAAGGACTTGTTGTCCTTTGGAAATGTTCAGATATTACTTACATTTGTGTGTGCATACATACGTGTGCAGAGCTAACTTGCCTTTAGATTTGAGTGTTCTAAAAATAAAAATGTATTGTTATTATCATTGACACTAGTCAGCTGAAAGGTAACTAAGGACCTGCTTACATGGAGTGGAAGCAGGCAAATGCAAAAGAAAAAGCAGCACTGTGCTTTAGATGAGCAAATCCTACAGACTCAAGCACAAAACTTCTTAGAAATCACCCTTTTGTTTGATGCTATGATTAGCAGCCTTCTGAGGAATTTGGGAGTAAAGCCAAGGACTTACTCTGAGAAACCAAACTGCACTTTTGCCTCCAGAAGTTATTCATGTAGGTCAAGGTTATAGTACATTTCTAAGACACTAGAAGAAAACATGCTCCTTTCCCTTAAGACATCATGTGTTAACCCAAACTTTTAACTTTGTGGGGGAGAGGGAGGTCAAATCATAGAAATTATTAGCCAAAATGACCTTTCTGTTTAAAATCCATCTGACAGGAAGGGTGTCTTTACTGCAGAATTGCCAGTCATAGAGTAATTACGTTCTGAGGGGTTGCTAATTATAACCAAAATTACTTTAAACAGTTTTGGGGAAGAGACTGAGACTTACTGCTTAGCATAAAGCAGTTTTATTTACGCATGCAGAAAGTAGCTTACATCCCTACAGGATTAAACTAATTGCAATATTTTACTGTAAATTGTAAAAATTGTGTCATGCAATGATGAATCAGAACTGGTAGGAAAAAAGAGAATAAATAAACTTTTGCTTTTAATAACTTAGACACTTCAAACTGTAATTCTAAAAATAGCATTTTCCTTCTCTTTGTTTCTTAAACAGAATGGAAAAATCTCTTTCTGAAAATCATGCCTACCCAATGATATTAATTTCGACCTTTAGTCTGCTCAGGTGAGTTCCTCAAGAGTATGTTAAACATCAGATTTGTTTCTTCCCTATTCATGGATATTGTTTTGCCTAAGTGAGTTTTGTTAACATCACTTTTTGCTTGGCAGATTGGGTTTTTTTCCATGTTAAGAAGGCCTAACGAGAGAGCATTGTCTTACAAGAATGCGTAGAATTACCAAGCTCCACATGTATGTTACACATAACAGGAAGATTCATGCCCCTGTCAGATCCAGAAGATAGGCAGTGAGTCCCAGAAAGGCAGTAGCATGGTCCTTGTTTTGAAGATGACGAAAGAGAGGCACAAAGAGGTTAAGCGACTTGCCTCACATGCCCAGAATACAAAGTAGGAGATGAGAATTTTTTACTTGCATTTTATTTTCAGACCCAACTTTAACACCTATATGAAACCAATTGCTATTTTGTTTACACAGGGTAGCCTGTATCCAGTTCTTCCCTTCTAAAGTCCGTTTGTGCTGCAGAGAATATGCAGGGATTGTGAATGTACTCCTAAGTAGCATTCCACAGTTGAACTAATTGCCAGGCCAAGCGAGGGACCACAGTAAATGGGTGAATAATTTGATCCAAGATGGATTTGTACTCTACCAACACAGCCTGAAATCTTCTAATGCTTTTGGATTTGACTGTGAGCTGTTCATTGTTGTTTGAGCCTGTTCTTTTCTATTACCATATTTTCTCTGGATATCATTTCTGTGTACGTTATCTTTGTATAAAAGGCCACATCTTTACCATATTTTCAGGGAGTAGTCAGTAGAAGCATACAAAATTTACTGCTGTAGACCAAAATGTGACAGATAAAGGTAGTGCATTACAAAGTTCCTGCCCTCAATCATGCAGAAGGCTCTCTATGCTTCTGTGAGCAGTGGTACGTATGTGGCTACACTGTAATGGGAGAAGGGTTAACAGTAAACCAGGACATTTTGTGCTGCAAAAGGAGATGGAATCTTCTCTGAGCAATTACCTTTTATGTAATAAACAATGTCAGTGGTCAATAGAGGGAGTTTTCTTACCCTAACCCCCTTCCATTTAACTGAAAATAGAAATGCCATTAGTTTGACTACCGGGTTGGTGTATCGCAAAGCCTGGCCATACCTGGTTGCATGTTGAATTTAACTGGTGGCAGAAGTGTTACTCAAGTAGCCTTTGTCTATCCTTTCCTTTAATAAAAAACAATAAACAAATAAAATGCAAGCTAGAGCTTCGGTGGAGTTAGGTGCTTTTGGCAGACATGTCTATTGATATACTGCAGTCTCTTTAGAATACAGTAATTATTCTACAGAATACAGAAGGGTACACTGTTTTTTATTACAGAATCTATTGGCATCATGAAATTGTGAGTAGCTTCTCCTTTACTTTTAGCTTCTGTTGACTCTTAAAATCCAGCTCTAACTACTAATGGATACTTTGCAAAATTCATTTTGGTAAAGGACACACATAACCTGTTACATTAGATATCTACTGGCAATGCAATTAGCTTGTGCTTTGACTAAACCTTAAAGGAGAGGAAGGTTTGATAACCAAAAGCCATGATAGATGCTTAGGGTAATGAAGAATTTCAAGAATGCAACAGCATGTGTGTCTTTCTATGTACAAGCTTTGACTTTCAATGAGTGTGATTTTCCTCACGGATATGGTGAGATTTTTGGTACAGGTTGACCACGCAGCTGATTATTCCATAGCTGAATAGCCCCTAGCTCAGTTACAGAATACAGAGAAGACCAGAGCTTTAAGGCAGCATGCTTATAGCTTTCTCTGTGTTACATATAAACATCATCTCTGTCTACTGTTCTTTCTAGTGGAGTGCCACTACTGTGATCTCTTTACTGACCATCAATTTCCCTGTGTCTTCTTTTTCACTTCAGAAATACATTTACTTGAAGAAGAGTTGTACTCAAAAAAAGAAAAATTGGGCACAAAATTCTAGATAAAGAAAGTTAGTCCTACTTAATATTTTGAAAGATTATATGCCAAAGCAGTGGAAACAGCAAATGGATTGTTTTCAATTTTTTATATTTGTTTTTATATTGTTTTATTTTTATTTTTTATGACTTTATGAACAGTGTAACAGTAAATCAAGGGCAGTGCCATGGAAGGCCAGTGGCCTTATAGTTACAGGAAGCTGATGAAAGAGAAGAACCTTAGCCTGACCTTAGCCATAGCCATTCCCCGTCTTTTGCTGAAGTCTGAAGTAACTGCGATTTCTTGTGTTCCACACTTGTGTCTGTGAATCTGCAGCGCTTGAATCCTTCTGCTTCTGGCTTATAAAATCCTGTGTCTGTAATAAAATTCTTCATTTTCTTCCTCATTTTGGCAGTGCTGAGGGAATCAGAACAGTTGTTAATTGTTTATTTGTTAGCAGTTCTGTTTTTTGTGAAAGGAAATTGGCCTTCCTCCTACCAGCATACGTGGAGCCAGAGAATGCCCCAGAGTTGTCAAGGCAACAGCTTTTGCTTGGGGAGCTGCAGAAGAGAAAGTGACAGGAACGTCCTCCAGAGAACCAAGGTCTTTTGTTGTATGTCATATAAACATGTGCGTCCTCCTTTTGCTGCAAACAGTATCTATTTACGGGTTAGTGAAAGTAGAAGTTACACACAGTGCAACATAATGAGATGGAGCTTCTGCTTCTGACAAAAACGGTCTAATGTTTACATGGGTATATAATTGCAGTCCCAAACTGGGTTTCTCTTCAATGTACTTGTTCTGTTGTGCACGGTCCTTACATGGCCATGTTAAAATATTGGCATAAATCAAATGTTTTTAGAATTTTGGAAAGGAAAGGGAGCTTGGTTTTCTTTACTACCTAGAACTTTTAGCAAGAAAAACTTTCTACTTAATATTTTTATCACTAGTCAGTGCTCCAGAAGACGATGTCTGTTGGTCTGAACTACTGACTGAATGCTAATGGTGATATGGCTTGCCTTCACTGGGAGATTTTTTTCATGCTGGACAAACGTGAACCAGATCCTTAGCTAGTATAAAGCATGTAGCTCATCTGAACCAACCAACAGAGCTATGCTAAATTTTACCTAGTGCAGACTGTGGACTGCATGAATTCAACATGGAAAAATGCCATTGCAAGAGTGCTAGAAATGCATATAACCTAGCAAAAGCACTGTCCTTCTCTCACAAGGGCAGGATCCAAGGATTCTTTCTACATTGTAGTATTTCTGGGATTTCTACTGCCTCAACAGCCAACAGTTAGAAAATCTTACATCTGTATATTATAGTTGGAATACTCAATGCATATTTCTATGGAGACATGAAAAATTATACATTTCCCATTAGATATAGAATGAGGCTATCAAGAGTTTTACAACATATTTTGTGTGGGGAGATAAGGTGGTCCTAGGACTTGTTGCTGTGCTTAGCACTCAGCACAGTCTTACCATCTTCATGCAGTAGGTACTTGATATATCTAAAGTGCGTATTTGCTGTCATGTTACTGCTATATGTATAATAAAATGCTATATATGACATAGCATAATCTTGTTTGATATTATGATCCTGTAATTTTCTTTGAAAAGATTAGTCTTGTAAATACTGTAAAGTTATATTAGTAGTTTCAGTAAGCTGTTTAAGATTTATGTGCAGCAGCATTATTTATATTTATGGTCAGTGACCTTGATATCTTGCACTTACAGTTAAGTTGAGATATTTTTCTTTTACTTTTTCCTCTTTCTTTTCTTGGCCTTGGTTAAAAAAAACCCAAACTCTTTGATTTTTGATTTATAAAAGAATTTCCTAACTTTGATACACATAGATTTTGGAGCTATTTTAACACTCCCATTTCATGTAGTCATTTATGTCACTGGGGAGTGAGTAAGGTACACCTACAGATACAAAACATTACCTATCAATTAGGCTCTTTGAAGTGCATTTCACTGCAGTATCAGTCATTGCAGAATAAGGTTCTGAGCCTAGGAGTACAGATGGAAATATATACAATCCCTTTAAAAAGTAGAATATTTGAATTCAGGTTGCAACATAGACAGTTGCATGAAATGATCTCTCCTGACATGTCAGCTGAAATATCAGAAATCCTATTTCTAATCCCTTCCATGTAATGTGGCATGGGGACATAGATACATATCAGCCATAAAGAGAAACAGCACAGCCTTTCATACAGACTCTGCAGGCTGCCTATAATTCAGTCCCCCTTCTCCAGCCTCTCCACCCACTGGTTGAGTCTCTCATTGCCCTTCCAACACCTAATGTACTCCTGACACAATGGAGGGAGGGCAGGAGCAGTGTGGTGAAAAATTAGACGCTGCAGACAAAAACTCGACAGACTGTCTTTCTCCTAGTGTCACAATATGAACTGGCCAAGTGAAAAATAATGGCCATTATCCCGTCTCACTGAGTGACTTAAATGACTTAGAACCACATGCAGAGAAAGTTCTTTGGATTATTTCCATGGGTTTTTTTTAATTTAATTTTCATGATAAGATGTACAAGGTAGGTTTTTACAGTTTAAGCGGCTTCATTTTTCTCTGACCCCTGTGTAAGGCAAGGATAATTTCACTGAACAAATTGGAGTAACTTCATTATCAAATGGATGTTGTGAGAGCACTGTCACAGTCCTTAGGCAACTTTCCAGTTGTTACTTCTCTATGCTCATGATGAGCTCCTATTTACATCAGCCCTAAGACTGAGGTTTCTAGGCGTGCTGGGCATTCAACCAGCACTGTACTTCTGACTTTCTCAGGAAAGATGGCTCCTTATGAATGGTGTCAGTGTTGTAAAGGTCATAACTTGAGTCAACATCCAGGAGTCTCATGGACCCAAGCATCAATGGGTAACATTCTGGAAAATGTAGGTGTTCTAATAAGTACACTGTTATATTTACGACTTTACAGACGCTGACTTGGGTTCACTTGAATGCTTGTCTTTGATGTTCCAGACTAGTACCTATATCCCAGGATGCTGGCCAGGTCTCTCAGCTTTGTTAGAAATCCTGTTTCTGCCTTGAGATACTTTTCCCTCTGAAAATTTCAATAAAATTGGTAAAGTCTCATGAAAAAATTTCAATTCTGAGAAGAACAGTTTTCTTGAAGTATTCCTAGCAAGATCTTTACAAGATCTGTAGTAAAAGCAACTGTTCTCTGCCTCCATGTCCAGTTACTCCTGCTAATTCAAAAGCATAGCCATGGACTTGGGAAGAGCAGCTGTATGAGCAGAATCAGCCAGAATCTAAATGTAAGAGGAGAGAAGAGGGACTGAGAGCTGTGTAGTACTGTAACTGTTACATCACATGGGAATTTGAGCCACAAAACCTAGCTATCGCCTATTGTGTGCTACAGCTTCTGTAACCTGACCTGACCAATAAGTCCTTTAATTAATTACAATTGGGGCTATACTTCTGTACATTTACAAAAGCCAGGAGAAGACTCCTTGTACCTATTCAACCAGTTGCTGTTAATGTATACAGCTCTTAAAAAGCACACTTGGAGCAGCCATGAGCATGATGTGCTTTCTGATCTTTTCAACTCCCATCCATGCTAACTGCCCTCTAGAGTGCCTGTAGACATCGTGTTGTGTTTGGAAGGTCTTCCAGCATACTAAGGCATTGCATGTACTACTTGATCATAAGGCTTTCTCTGGGTGTGCCTGAAGCCATGCTTATATGAACAGCATGCCTGGTCTTGAGAGCACATCGAAGTATCACTTCAGAGGCAACAGAAGGTGCTGTTTGTCTTTTATTTATTACTAATGTAGATAAGATACTGCAAATAATGGCAAGTTTAAAAAAAATCAGATTGTTACAACTGCTTTCTTCCCTTTGCAGTGGAAATGTATTTAGCGATCTCTCCCCATTTATTATTTCTGATAGAAGCAAAGTCTTACCACAGAATTAGCTGAAATTTCATATATCTGAATCCATGTTCATTCTTCCAGCAACATCTTTCACATTTTTTCCTTTCCTTCTCTTTTTTGGAATTTGTGGTTAAACAGAGCAAGGTGTTTCCTGAAACTGCATTAAAAAAAGTCTTATCTCTTCCTGGTTGTTCTTCCAAAAAATGCATACTGTATTTTGTCTGCTGGTATGGAAGTGACATAAAACCAAAAACCTGCTGCAATGAATATTAAACTATGAAAATTAAGAACTTGAAATCCAGTGAAGGAGTTCAGATTTCATATTTAATATGCATTAGAAACATGAATTTAGTTTATAGTAAAATCATATTTTTAATAATTACTTGCAGAAAATGAAATAATAATCTGTGTGCTCTTTTGCCCTTTTTCACCTTTGTTCCAATGTGATAAAATAATATTTTTTGCAGTATAGTGCTCCTGTTGATGAAGCCTGATGTATATGGCAATATCACTGAAATTCATTATCAAGCAAATAGTGTAGTGAACTTTGCAGCAAATCATCACAAAGTAATCTTGCTTTTTTCTCTGGCCTTACTCTAAATGTGGTTTACACTCATGGAAAGAGTACCTTGTGCTGGTTTTGATGTTACATACAAATGGGTTTGCTTTATAAATTTCCATTATTCCTGTTTACATTTAGTAGCAGTGTTATTGATTCAGGCTGTACTGATTGGAAAGTAGAAGTCTTTAACACTAAGCCCCTTTAAAGTTTCTCATAAATTTGTGGCATTTTGCCAGCTTTGCTTACAAAACAGCACAGAGCTGTTGGAAGGAAATGCTCCAGCTGCAGGAATAAGTGGAGCCAAAAAGTAATGTCCAAATAGAAATTATCCAGTTCGTGCTTTTGGTTTGATCACCAGATGTTTGTTATGTGACATCAGCATTAGAGACAAAAAGAGAGGAGAAAGTGGATGGTGTCATGCTCAGCTTCAATCTAACACAAGAGCTCACAGCTCAGCAATAGATATACACAAACAGTTAGTGGCTTAATCTATTTTGGTTGAGAGATTCCTCATTTTATCATGATGTGATTACAGCAAACTATGTACCCCTGCAAAGTTTTGGTTTGATTTCTTAAATTTTTAAACTCTGAAAGACTGTGGAAGCAGGGCAAGGTACACTGCAGATTAATAGTGTTCATTACTCTGTTTTGATAGGTAATTTGACTCTATCAAGAGCCTAACTCTTCTTTGTGTGCTGGTTTATAGTGACATTAGTAAATCATAAAGAGTACTATTCTGGGCTACTAAGGGTTGCAGAATTAGGTTCGTATCTTTTCCTGGTTTTAGCATTGGCATTCATTTGATTTAACTTCCTACAATACAGTGTACTTGAAGGAGCGTTTTTCAGCTTCTTTTAGTTATGAATTAGTTGAGCAATTTCAATATGCATAGAATTGAAAGGACACTTTTGAGTTTTCCAGTTGTAACCCTTTATCATCTCTGTTAACCTTCTCATATAATGCAAAGCTCCATCTAAAATCTCCTTGTGATTTTTGCTTTCATTAACCTCACAGGATGGTTGGCGCAAACTTCTGCTGCTCTAGGAATTAAAAACTCTCTTGAAATGTCCATCCCAAACTTACTCGGGATCTGTTTATAGCTACTTACTCCCCTAATAGAAAAATTTTATGATGCATGCCATAGAATTTCTAAGTGAATTCGGATAAATGACTTA